CTGATGTTAGAGGGTGGGAGGAGGCTTTCCTAGGGACAGGAACCGTGGTCTAAAGTAGAAAAAGAGATTGGTCAAAGAGTAATCCTGGCTTCCTATTTTTAGTCCCCAAAATTCCTCCAGGGACACAGGCACCCCAATGACCTAGATACATCCCAATGACCCAGGACACACCCACGATGGCCTAGGACACACCCCAGTGGCCTAGCACACACCTCCAATGACCAAATTCCTTCTCCCAGGCCCCACTCCTTAAATATTCTGCCACCTCAAGGCCACACTGCAGACCAAGTTTCTGGCACATGAACCCTGGGCAACAGAGCACATCCAGCCACAGCAACACCCACAAAACATGGTGGAGGAGAGACACTTAGGAAGAGCCAGCCAGGAAGAGCGCTGCTTCAAGGCAGTCTCCACTGTAGGAAGCTCAGTGACACCTGCTGGGAACCCTGGGAATCCACATGGAGCCACAGTGTCCCAGAATGTCCCTCCTGTATTGGTGCCCAGGAGTATGACTACTCTCTGGCACTTGTGGACTTTACATGTGGTAAAGGGAGTTGAGGACGACAAGCAGGGGCCAGCAGGTTGGATGCCAGGAGGCCAGCAGGCAGGGATCCTCACTGCTTTGCCAGGAAACAGCAGGGAGGTGTCTGTGAAGCTGAGACCCAAGGTGATTGCAGATCCCGAAGAGCATCATGACCGAGACCAAGGCCATGCAGGGTCCCTGTGTGGGAGTGGGAGATGCCCCACGCCCCATCTATAAAGTTCACTTCTCCTTTCTGCTGAACTTGCGATGAGGAGAGAGGGTGCTGTCTCTAGCATTTGCAGGGCCTGGTGCAAAATGACAATGCAGGCCGCTTGCTCAGAAATTATTAAGAATTCAAGGTAGCAGCAGCAGAGCATTAAGCCAAGCCCTCTAGGGTGCGGGACCCTCGTACAGTGGATGCAGAAAGTTTCTATCAACTGCCATGTTCGGGGCTCACATGAGGCGGTGGTGATGAGCTGTAGGGAGCAGGTGCCTGAATGAGTGCATAATAAACATCCCCATGTGGAGCCAGACCTGTCCTCCAGCCAGAGTAACCGAGATGATCAACAGCTGCTGCAGACTCTGGGGAGCTGAACAGATTGTCCTTAAAATGGCCAGCTGGGCTTTTGACCTTGGTAGAGGTCCAGAACTTTGCTCCCAGGTCAGAGGGTTGGCAGCCGGGACCTAGGATAAGAAACAGAAAAGCACTGCAGGCTGCTGGCTAACACATAGTGATGTTCCTGTACAGAAGCCTGTTGGGGCCAGGGCACACTGACTAGGTACCAGTTGCTGGGTCCAAGTCTGCCCAGGGTGAATGCTACCAGTGTGCGGTGCTCCTGGACACACAGCTCTCAGAGCACCCCAGCATGTCTGTGAGACCCATATGGGCCTCCTCCTGCCCCACACTCTCTGGGGAACCCTCAGGATTTCATCTGGGTATAGGTGCCCTCCTCTCTTGGTGTGGTGGATTAACTAACAGTTAACTCATAACACCCAGCTGAACTGAATCAGCTTGGTTCTGGGCATGGAAGACTCACCTGAGGATTGTTGTCAATAGCACAGGAGAACTGGAGAGGAGGATGATGTGCTATTGCTGGAGAAGATTGTTGCCCTGGTTTTCCTGATACAAACTTTGCTGTTAACTTCAGAGGGGCTCTGGTCCTTGTGGTTGCTAAGGATGGCTGTGGTTCTCTTTGGGGAACTCTGGTCCTTATCGTGGACATTGCTTCCTAGCTCAAGAGCAGATCCCATAGCTTGGTGGCACAAGCCCTTCATCATACTGGTGCAGACTTTCAAGTTTCCACCACTGACCTTCCCAGAGCAGATCCTCAATGCAGACTTGCATGAGACATTGTTATGGGTTCTAGGCCTTCAACGGGACTTACGGAGGACATTGCTTTGGACTCTAGGTTTTCAGCTGGATTCTTTGTGTCTCTAGTGCATGGATAGATCTCTTGCACTTCTCTATATTTGATTTTTTGGGTGAATATTATAAAATAATGCTAACCTGTACTATATTAAATCTATTCTCTTGCAGATCTTGACTATAACACTTGGTTTGGGGTATTTGGAGTTGAGACAGATCAAACTCACATTGACCTTATTTTTCATACAACAGGACCCCCAGATCCCTCAAGAGCTAACCCCTGAATTCTTAGTAGGTCTCTCAGAATCTTTCTTGAAACCACCCAGATGAGTTGTAGGTCAGAAATTTGGGAGGACGCAACTGTGTTCTCTTAGGGCCTCATCAGACCAAAGTCAAGCCCTGGGCTCCTCTCTGGAAGCTCTGGGGAGAATCCATTTCCAAACTTCCTCAACTTGTTGGCAGAAAGTCCATTGCTTTCAGCCATAGGACTAGAGTCCCTGATTTCCTGATGGCTGTTGGCAGGGGACTGTCCTTAGCTCTGGTGGCTTCTTTGGTCTATGCCCATGACTTTCTAGCATCTCAGTATCAAGAACATCTATTCTGTTCCTACTAAGATAAATTCTTAAGCATCAGATCCTTCTAACAATGTCTTCTGTTGCCATATGGAAAAATGCCCTGCTTTCAAGGGCTTGTGTGTTACAGTAGACTCATAGATAACCTCATAGGTCACCTCCATATCTCAAGGCCAACAGGTTTTCAGGTCTAACCACATGTACCAAATCCAACTTCCAGGAAGATGGCAGAGCAGTGATCAGCACAGAAACAGCCTCTCCAAGATTTGGTATCCAGACACTAGAATACAGCAATGTGAGGAAGAGAGGAAGCAGGGAAGGGGGTCCTCAGGGCCAGCAACGATCTGACATGAGAATTGAAGCCCATGAGGAGAGTGAAGAGACGGACCTCAGTGCAGAGCGAGGTGGTGGCAAGCAGCATTTTGTCCCTGAGCCCTAATTCACTGTGTAGGAGGGGCAGCTCGAACCTGCAGATGCACAGTGACTGCTGGTGACCCCAGAGGCCTCCACAGAGTATTGCACCAATGGAATGGAACAGTGGACACAGCAGAGTGCATTGGCTGGTGAATTTTTCGGGTCCAAGTGTCCCCCAGGAGAGGGTAACTGGCCAGTAGCCATCTTGGAAAGGGCCCAACTGAGCTCAGAACTCAGCAGCTGCAAGCTGGCTCCATCTAGTTGGCTTCCAGTGTTAGGGTGAGGTGGAACCAACTTCAAATTGGTAGGAGGTCAAGGAGCCAAGTTCAAATCATTTGGGAGCAGAGTTCAAGATGGCAGAAGGCACATGAAGTGCTGTAGGCTGAACAAACTGGTCCCACCCTCAAAGCCAGAAACCAAGCTGAGCTTCAGGGGTGCTAATGGTACAGGCTCGCTGGGATTTTCCACTGCCCTGCCACAAATCTACAGCTGCCTTACGGGGATTAATCAACATGGATCTGGGCTAGTCTGTCCACTCTGTCTACCAGTGACTACAGAGACACCCCCAGAAGTGGACGTGTTTTTCTATTTTTTTTTCTTTTCTTGTTTGTTTTTGGTTTGGTTTTCTTGATCATTTGTTCTTGTTTTTATATGAGTGTGAACATCGTTTCTAGTTTTGTTATTGTTCTGTTCTTCATTTCTTTTCTCTCTTTCCCTCCTGTCTTCTTCACTGGTTTCCTAAAGTTTACATAATCTTCCTTTGTCTTCCAGCCTCATTTCTAATCTCTTCTCTAATTTCCTCTTTTCTAGCTTCTCTTCTTCTATTCTCTTCTAATCTCTTCTTCTATTTCTCTATTTTCTCCTTAGTCACTTTTAATTTGTCTCCCCTGAGGGTGAATTGCCATATTGAGGGACTATTCACTGTGTACAGTTTCTGGCTTGGTTTAGATTTTGTTATATAACCATAAATGTAGCTGTCCTGGTTTATGCTGCGGCCCCCAGGCCTCATGCTTTGCATTATGCATTTGTGATTGGTTCATTGTCTAGCGCTTGGATTGGAGGTGTGAGTGCTACACTGGCCTAGGGGTGGACCCAGCATACAATGTCATGGCAGGAAGAAGGTGTGTCTACCTCTCTTGGCAGTTTCTGCCTTGCTATTTGCAGCCAACATGAACTGCAGCCCCGCCATGCCACTCTGCCTTGGAGCCAACTCAATATAGACTAAAGCCTCCAAAAACTGTAGGAAATAAACCTTTCCTTTCCCAACTTTGGGCATCAGGCATTTTGTCTCAGCGACAAGTAAAAAGTAACTAAAACAGTAGTCCATACAGTTAAAGGTGGAAAATTAACAGTTACCACAGTTTGTCATTTTCTAGGCTGTGTTTGATGCTGTTGTGACTGTGGATTGTACTACTGCCAAGGTGACATAACTGTTCTAATCAGCTGTTTTTCCAAGACTGAGCTTGCCTAGGGTTTGTAAACAATTCTATAGGCCAGCGCTGAAGAAACATGGGCTAGGTCAAATAGTCAGCAACTTCTCATCCTAAAAAGATTTAAGAAGTAGAATCTTGCCACAGACTCAAAATCCAAAATCCAGCTACACCTGGAAGACATGTCTGAGAAATAGTCATTTCCTAAGGGTTCGAAATGCTAGCAATAAAGTTCCTCCCATAAGCAGTTTACAAGCATCAACTCAGGAAGTAAATAAAAAATGAGAAGACACTTAAGCAAGATGCCACCCCAGATTTCCAGCCCGCCAAGTGCACCCCCAGGGGATGATGAGGGGCAAGAGCTTGAAAGCCAACCTGGATCCTCTGAAGTGATGACAACAGAAGTAACAAAACAGATGTATGAGGCTTGAGAAAAAAATCAAATCAGAGATAATTTATCAGATATCTACAGAGACAGAAACCATAATGAATGACATAGTCAGTGACTGGAGCATATAGCTAAAAAACAGACGAGCTTAGAAAAAATGATGGAAATCACGGATGCCTAGCATAGGAGAGAAACAGAATCTGTGAAGCAGATATCCAGATATCCAGATTAAAAATTCCATTGAAAGTATCCATAACAGACTGAACTGATGAGATGACAGAATATCAGATATAGAAGACAGGACTGTGCTTGCGTTGGCAGCACGTACTAAAACTGGAACAATACAGAGAAGTTAGCATGGCCTCTGCGCAAGAATAACACGCAAATTCGTAAAGAAAGGATTGTGGTCAGCGACCAGGAAAAAAAAGATTTCTTAAAAAATAGCAAGGGACCATGAAAAGTCAAGCCAACAGCTCCTAGATGAGGCAAAGAATAACATAAAATTGATCAGAGTCAGTGAAAAAGAAGATTGTACGAATGACATAAAAGTCTGTTCCCAGAAGTAATGGCAGAAAACTTCCCAAGTATGGAAAACTAATTTGATATACAGATAAGAAAGGCATTTGGATATGCGTGAAATCCCTGATGCCGTGAAAGGGAGTGTGACTGGTCAGGGCGTTCCCAGCCTAGGGACTCTGGAGGAAACTGCCCTCCTGCTTTGGTTTCCTGAGCTCAAGTCTCTTGGCTCCTCCCTTGCCTATTCCAGCTTCTATCTGGTCTCCTTAGCTGCCTTTTCCACCCCCTGCAGCACTTTTAGAAACTTCAGGATCCCTACAAAAATAATAAAAAGGAATCTGGGCCACCCAGGGAGCTGGCAGAAGCCACTTCAGCTGGGGAATCTCAACCCCGGCTGCAGGCAACTCATTCCCCAAGGGCAGGGCGGCTCCCTCTCTGCTCAGATGATGGAACGTCCACTCAGGGTCTGGTGGCCCCATGAGAGGCTTCAGAAAGTGCAGAGTCACCCTCTCGTAGACTGTGAGAGGGCAGCTCTGATGGATGGGGTGAAGCAAGGCTGCAGGACCCACATGAAGCTGCCCAGCACTTTTCCTGGATAAGCTGGAGAGCTTTCAGCAGAGGACCTGGGCTCAGCCAGAATGGCTACGGACCCCAGAATAGCCATAAGTGCTGCGTGCAGCAGAAGATCCACACAAGGCAGCATGACAATACTAGCAACTGGTGCGCAGTGCTTTGTGGACATGTGCTAATCGGATCTCCACAACAGCTCTAAGAGGTAGGGTCTGCAGTACTGCCTGCAACATACCTACCCACAGTTTCAGTTACTTGTGATCCACTCAGGTCCAAAATTACTAAGTGAAAATTCCAGGAATAATGCCTAAGTTTTAAATTGTGTGCTGTGCCATTCTTCTGAGCAGTGTGTTGAAATCTTGTGCCATTTCACTTGTTATAGTTTAGATCTTGAAAGTCTCCCAAAAGCCTCGTGTGTATGGAAGGTGATTAGATTCCGGGCTGCTATACTGACCAGTGAATTCGCCCATGGATGGTTGTATGCCTGACTTGCTGTTAGGAGGTGGGCCCTGGTTACAGGCTGGTCACAGGGAGTGGGACACAGAAGCTTTGTCTTCCTCCCAGGTTCTTCCTCCCAGGTTGCTCTCTGCTTTCTGGCCAACATGATGTAAACAGTTGTCTTCCACCAGACCTTTCCACTTGCCCTTCCTTCCCTTCTTGGACCTGGCCAGCTATGGACCAAATCCTCTAAAAACTGTGAGCCAAAAGAAACCTCTCCACTTTTTAGTTGTGGGTGTTGGGTATTTTGTCCCAGCAACAAAAAGATGACTAAGACACCACTCCCTCCCGCCCAAGATGTGAATCATCTCTGTGTTCAGTGTATCCATGCTGTATATGCTACCCATCTATTAGTCATATATAACTATTATAACTGTTTAATTTTATTACTAGTTATAAAATCATTGAGTTACTGTATATTTTACCTACTATTAATCATTTACTGTATCTAATTAATATCCAATCATTTACTGTATCCAATTTACTTACTATTAATCATTTACTGTATCCATGGTAAAACATTGGCTACCTAAGTTTTAGTACTATCTTCAGTTTTAGGCCTCCACCAGGGTTCTTACAAGTCATTTCCTAGGTATAAGGAAGGTCTACTGTGTAGTCAACTCCATTTTAGAGGAAGAAACTGAGACTCAGCAAGATTAAGGGACTCATTCAAGATTAGACAGCTCATTACTAAAGAGGTGCTGGTGATGTCTACCAGTGCTTAGTGTCCTTCTAGGCAGAAATTGATGGCACTATCAATGCCACAACTTGAATCTGGAATGTCCCCCAGCGGCCCATGTGTAAAAGATGTGGTCCCCAGCATGGTGCTATTGGAGGAGTAGCCTAGGGGGCTGGTCTTCCAGTTCTGGGGTGTGCCTTGGAAGGGGATTAGGGCAACCCAGCCTCTTCCTTTTTCTCTCTTTCACGTTGTGACCATGAAACGAGCAGCTTTGCTCTGTCAACCTCTTCTCTGCAATGTGCCATCTACCACTAGAAACTTCAAAACAGATATAGCTCAGAAGAATAAGTGTTTGCCTGGCAAGCACAAGGTTTTGATACTAAAAAAAAAAAAAAAAAAGTGTTCCTGGGAGAAAAGCTGTATCTATGCTCATAAATCACAGTCATGCTGTGAGCCAAAATAAATCGATTCTCTTTATGAACTGATTGGCTCAAGTATTTGCTACAGGAACAGAAAACTGATACAATATGCCTACATCGCAACAATAAAGGAGTTATAATGGCAGGGGACCCGTGTGGGAGGTGGGGGCCATGAGTACAGAAAGAAGCAGCAGGGGGATGATTCTGTCCCTGAGGTTCAGAGCAGGAAGGTAACACGGCTTACAGATGGCATAATCTGAACCCGGGTCTGCCAGGTCCCTGAAAGCCTCTATTCCAAGTGGAGATTCTTCCTGGGCAAGGCTCTGGTTCTGGAGATCAGAGGAATGATGATGTCCCTGGCTGTCAGGTCAGAGAACACCTTCCCACCCCTCATCTAGGGAGGGTGGCTTCCAGGATACTGCAGGAGGTGGAGGCTGAGGCAGGGAGCTGAGATGCCACTCCTGTAGGGACAGTCCCCATTTGCCTTTCTGTGGTCCTGGAGCAAGGCTGTGGCTCTGTCTCCCTGCCAAGGCGGCCCTGCCTTAGAAGACCTGGGCCAGACTCGGTCTTGAAGCACCCCGGGATCTGTTTGAGTGACTCCTCAACTCTGGAGGGGAGTCTTCCCTTGTGTCAGGCAAAGATGGGGCAGAAACCTGGGGCAGAGGGGCTTGGCTAGGCCAGAGCAGAAGAAGCCAGTACAGCTTCCCAGCCCTGGGCTGCTCTGGGTCTTGTCTCCTCTCCAGGGCTGGAGGAAGTCACTGAGTGTCCTCTCGGGGAGCCAAGGTGCTAAGCATGCTACAGAAACAACAGGCCAGGTTGTCGTCCTCACTCTGCCCAGGCCTACCCTGGCTTCCCACTGCACCCATTCCCCTAAAGCCACCTCTGCCCGCCAGTCCCAGCAGCCAGCTACTCTGCCCTGCATCCATCCTTTCCTTTGCCCCCACCTGTGGGCTGCTCAAATCCCACTGGCCTACAAGGTGTCCATGAGGCACTTTGCATCCTGAGGACAGAAGCCAGCATTGTGATGTCACTGGCCATCATCTGTTTCTTTGTGCTTGGAGTAGTGGGTGAGTCAACAGGGTCCCTTCCTCCTCCTGGTGCACAGGAACCTGATCCAGTGCCAGGGTCAAACAGGCTGGGTCCATGGCCGCACTTTCTCACTCTGGTTTTTCATAACTGGGGCTGGCCCAGCAGATGGCCAAGGAAGGAAGGTCCTGTGGTGGGCCAGGGCCAAGGAACTGAGTTGCAAGGCTGTAATGGAATCCCTGCTAGCTAGAGCGCCCCAAACCTAGGCTGTGACCTGCTCACTGTCTCTGTCAATCTCCAGTCCAGCTCCCTAAACCCTACAGGAGCTCAGAGCTTGCAGTGGGTGGGAGGTGGCTGGACAGAGTGTAATGACCCCATGGCTCTTTCCCGGATGTTGCTGGAAGCCAGCACCTGTTGAATCCCACCCCACCTCCTCCCTGCCAGCATCTTGGTGCCTGGGAATTAAAATTTAGGAGTGATAGAACTATACCACTTTAGGGTGGTGAAGATGTTGGATGCTTCACAGAGGCTTTGGAATCAATGAGCCCCAAATCCAAACCCAGGCCTACCCTGTAACCTTGAGCTGGTCACAGCCGCTCTGAGACTCTGTTTTTTTTGCTTTGAAGTGAGGTGCACACCCCAACTTCCGAGGGCTACGGAAAGGAAGCTGTCTGTGTTGTCCTGTTTGGACCACCTGCTGCCTGTACTGTGCACCTTCCTGCCTCGTGACCTGGGGCTGTGAAGGCCAATGCTGCTGGCCATGGACACAGATCAAACAGCCAACTGGAATAACCCTGGTGACAACGACAGGGATCTGAAGATGCTCTTGCACCAACTCTGCCAGCTGCAGGCCAAGTATGAGCTGTCCGAGGCCTGCTGTCCCTTGCCCCAGCCTTTACCCCAGGGCCACCCAAGTGACTGGGACAGAACAAAACTGCTCCCAGAGGACATCAGACCAACAAAGTAGACAAGAGGGGTAGGATGCCCGGAAGGAAATCCAGGCTATGGGGGAGCTGTGGGGAGAGGTGTGACCATCATCCTGTGGTCTCAGCTCCCCTCATAGCTGGGGCCATTCCCACCCCTGCTGCGGCTGAGTGTCCTCATCAGGAAGGGGGCTGCAGATAGCCGTCCCTGTGTACTGTCTGCATGGTGCCTCTGAAGTCAGTCTGCATCTCTGCCCCTCTGACCCTGAGTGGAGACTCTAGGTGCTCACCTCACTTAGAAGGGATATCAGTCGCTGGCCACCTATAAAAGTCCGAAGCTGATGCAGAAAGAAGTGTCCCTGAGCAGCCTTATAAACAAGGTCCAGCCCCGTCGCCAAGACCTCAGGGGACTTCCGATCCCAGGAAGGGTAACGCGCTGCTGCCCACAGGCCTCCACGGTACTTTCGAGGAATACCCGCATTTGTCAGGTCTCTAGATTAAGAAGGCAACGTCTTGCTCTGAGTCACTCAGCAGTCACTCAGTGATTCTACCCAGGCCCCCGTTGGCTCAATCAGAGGGTGTGGGCAGGCTGAGGCCAGCCCCACCTTTCCCTCTGCCCTTGGTCCTCACTCTCTCCACCGGAAGTCATTTGACCTGTCTATATTGCTCAGCTTGCTACCCAGGAAGACAGAGTGGGCGGCTCCTCAGTCAGTGGCCGTCTGATAGGTAGTAAGTGGCCAGCCCAGCACAGGCCTAAGCAGGAGGTCCGTGGAGGGTAGCTCAGGCTGGGGCCATGCAGGACCGGGGGCCACCATACCAGGTCCTCACTATGGCTTGGCTCTGCAGGCAGAAGAAGCTGGAGAGAGAGCTGGAGCGGCACAAGCCATTTGCAGACTATCTGATGAAGGTCCTCGAGAGAATCCCCAAAGGTACGTGGCTTCCCAGAAAGCCTGTCCCCTCCATGCTGGGACATAGCATGTGACCTCACTGAGCTCAAGTTGCTCATCTGTCGCCTGAGAATACACAGAGGTGACACCATTGTGGCTAAGAAGGACACAGGTGCCCGAGTCAGGCTGCCTGGTCCCTACCCTACCCACCCTGACAACCATGTGGCCTCTGGGGGTCCTCAGTGTCTTGATTTCTTTCTGAGTAACATGAGCACAGTTGCTGCAGAGGCTGCATAAACCAAACCATCTGTAACAAACCCAGAGCATCGCACCTGGCATTGGGCACCCCGTAAACATCGGCCACCATGATGCTTATGGTCACTCTGTATCCGGGGCTTCCGAGTGCAGATTCAACCAACCTCAAGTCAAAAGTATGCAAAGAGCAAAATTGCACCTGTATGGCACTCTTTTTCCCCTGAGCCATTATTTCCCAAACAAACCATCAGCACCATGTCAGCATTGTGCTACATACCATGCATTACGCAGAGGTGTTTGAGGTACCCAGAGGCTATGCAGGCTCGATCCGGACCCCACATCCTTTCAGAGTGGGATTAAGATCCTTGGGCCACACCACCCATACTGTGAGTGGGTTTTGCCTGTCTGTGATTTTTTTGGTTGATTTTGCTATCATTCACTAACACTGGAATGGGTTTTAGTGTTATTTAGTTTGTCTTGTCATAATTTGTGCCGAAGTTGGCTGCTAAAAGTGCCTCTGGGTTACTAGAAAAGGCAAGGGGAGACAAAAAGAAATACATCTTATTATCATCATTATTAGTTCAACACCACCAAAATAGAAATAATTATTACCATTTATTAACTATGTCCTCTGTGCTAAACTCCTCAGCCAGTTTTTTTTTTTTAACATCCTTCCAAGCTTCAGGTCACTCTATTACCTGGGCTCAGAGAGGGTAAGGAACTTGTCTGAGGTTGCCCAGCCAGGAGGCAATGGGGCTCTGTCTCAGCATTGGGTCTATCTGACCTCACAGCCACAGTGCTCAGCGCTATGAGGAAGGTGCTACTGCCTGCCGAAGGGCTATGGGAGCCTCAGTTCTCTCCTGGAGTCAGGAGCGGATCTGGAGAGGAAGCAACTTCTCAGGGGCTCCAGTGAGCTTGGCAAAGGACAGGGCACTGCAGGAGAGGGAGGTACGTGTGGCTCTGCTGGTGCAGGGCGAGCCCATGTGTTGGAGCTGGCAGGGCTGCTGGGAGAGGTGTCTGGGGTGGGCCTTGAGGGCCAAGCCAAGTGTGGGGCTTGAAGTGACCCAGCAGCCAGTGCTGCTGTAGCCTCGAGTTTGGGGCCCTCCTGGCTCAGTGATTCAGTCCTAGGGGACTCACCCAGGAGGAGTTACCAGCTTCTTCCTTCCCTGGGGGTCGGTCTGCGGCTGCCCTGGGCACCTCTCACCTCCTCACCTGCAGCCCAGAATCTGGGTTCGCAGCTACAGCCAGGGGCCTTTTCAATGTCCCTGCTTCTCCTGGGGTGAGGGAGACACCGGGCAGAGTCCTGGGCTCCGGCAGGAATTCTTAGCGGTCGCCTCGCTGGCTGGGAGAGCCTCAGGGCCCAGCCCACTGCAGCCCCGCCCCCCAACCCCCAGGCTGCAGCGACACAGAGGAGCCCGAAGCTGTCCGGCTGGAGGCCCTCGTGCAGCGCTACAGGAAGATCCTCTCGGCCAGCAGGGACGTCCAGCAGCACCTAGGCGTCTTTTCCCAGATGAACCAGGCCGTGCGCGCGGCACTGGAGTCTCTGGAAGACAGCCACAGGGCTCTTCTGCCGGTGACAGCCACCCGCAGACCCGTCCCCCGGCTCGGGTTGCTGGGCCTGCAGTAGCGAAGAGTCTGGATGCAAGGTCCCTCGTGCGTCCCCTTTCCTTGGCTGGCTTTCTTTGTGCACAGTGGAAAAGTCGAGTTCTAGATTCAGTGGCGTTCTGACCCCCACTTGGCTACTGGCAAGCTGTGAGAAGCATCTGTAACCTCTCTGAGCCTCGGTTTTCTCCTCTGTCAAATTGGCACAACACACCCTAGCTATTAGTGTTCTCATGAGACACCCAACAACTGCCTCGCTGGCAGGCATGTGGCACACATCTGCCAGTCTAGCTTCACAGGAGGCTGAGGCAGGAAGATCACAAGTTCTGGATTATTAGTGAGACCCTGTCTCAAATAAAAGAGGGCTGGGGTCCTGGCTCAGGGGTAGGAAGCTTGTCTAACATGGGTGAAGCACTAGGTTGAATCCCCACAACTGAAAAACACAAAAAAGCTCAGAAATCTCATAATGCATAGAACTTTTGTAGGGTGTATATTCCAGATGGAGGGGCAGGACCCTTCCTAGCAAAGACCGGGAATCCTGAGGTCTGCTGTCCCTGGGACCAGGACCAAGGCATGATGTTTGGAGAGTTGCCGCCCCCTGGTGGCAAGGCTTTAAAACTATTTAGCAGCGTTTTCCCTTTGAACAAGAACCAGGTCCACTCCTGGACTGGGTCCTGTGAGTAGTTTAGGAGCTCTATGGTCTTTGAATTCCAGTACCTGGAGGCAGGTGCTTCTGTCCCCAGGACTCAGTGGAAGGAGAGAGGAGTGAGCTGACCGTGGCAATAGAGGGTAGGACCCTGTCCTTCCCAAGTGCTTTGAGGTTGTCCCCCTCGGTGCTCCTCCCACAAACATCAGTGACTGTAGAACACTGTATGAAAGCATTGCTTATCTTAACTGCTGAGGCCGCCTTCAATTTTGCATGAATCTTCAAGCCATTTTTGCTGTGAGGAAAGGAAACCTCAGAGAAGGGAGATCACTTGTGTTTGTCCTGCGTCTTCCTAATTCACAGTCTGGGGCATCCTCACGGCCCTGCTCCTGAGTCTCCAGTCCTGAGGTTGTATCCCCCAGATGCTGCTAGCTCTGGTTCTAGTGAGCAGCAGTGGACCCAGGCAGACCCCATCCTCACTCTCCCAGGCCTGAAGTGACACCCCCAGAGAGCCCTTACAGGCAGGTGGGTACCCCAGGATGACCCACCCTGCTGACTACAGAGCCTCAAGATCCGGCTGTGTCAGCTGCAAAAGAAGTGTCACTACAAGCAGGAGCAGTGGCGGCAGCTGGAACCCGGCATCACCCTCCAGAACAGCATGGGCTTTGACACTGCCCACCACGGAGGCCACAGTGTGAGTTGGGTACAGGGTGTCTGGGAGCTGCAGCCTCCTTTAGTAGCATCACCTTGACACACACACGGACCCACAGATAACAGACATGCACACACACATACACAGACACCACACACTCAGTCACACAGACGCGTACACATGCACACATGCACGCACATGCCTCTCTGCGGGGCTGTTGCTGTCACAAGGCTTTCTAAGCCAGAGCTGATGGTCCTTCCTGGATGAGAAAATGGAAGCCTCAGATAGTAAAGGACCAAGCTCTGCTGAGAACCAGAGCTGGCACTTGCTGGTAGATTCCAGGGCCAGCAGCATTCTGGGTGCTCAGTCAATGCTAGATATGGTGCCTGGTTAGTAATGAAAAGATGCCAGAGGCCCCAGGCAAGTGATACATATGACTTCGGTGACTCTGCATCTCTCTGATCACAACCTGGCTGTGCAGACCTAGCCAAAGCCCTCATTTCCAGGTTCAGTTTTGCACTGGCTCGACTAGCCAAGAGAGAGATCTGGCCATCCTGGAGCCCCAGCTTCCTGACCAGAGTCTGTGCCCTTCTGGTCTCGGAGACTGCTGGGTACTCCTAAGCCCAAGGCTCAGGGCTGGTAGCAATGCTGGGCACCCTGCCCTGAGCAGGATGCCATCACTGAGTGACTTCAGGACCTCCTTGGACTCAGAGTGACCTGGCCCAAGTGGGAGCAGGCCCTGTGAGGTACAGGAGGGTGGGGGCTGCTGATCTCCAGCTTCTAGGGGAGCTGGTCCCTCTGTGTCTCTCTTCCTAAGTGGAGAGCCACAGCTGCCACAATTGGCTCTGAGGCCTGGAGTCTAAGGCTCCAGCACTGCCTGCAGGGGCAACCCTGGGCCTGGCTACCCCCCTCAGGGGAGGCCTATAGATGTCCCCTGCCAAGAGGACCCTCTGAGACGTGTTTGCCAGGCCTCGCTCTTAGCAGGGGAGGGTGTGTAGGCCTCTTTCAAGCCCTGGGAGCAGAGTACAGTCTGGGTAGGACCAAGGCTTCTGACCTGGCCCTGCAACTCTTCTCTGGCCTGTGTGGGCTGGGGACGGTCAGGGGGCTGCTGGGAAGGGCCTGAGCCTTTGTTATTCTGCAGAGCCAGCTGCTCAGCTACATGCAAATGGCCATCAACAACATGGCCCAGCAGTGCTACCCTGAGGCCCCTGGCATACCCACAACCATGAGTCTCTTCTCCAAGCTGGACCTGATTCAGGTGAGGTGGGCTGACAGCCTCAGGTTGTCTCTTCCTGGGCTGTAGCCTGAGCCGGCCCTGGGCCCTGACCTGCACCAACCTTCTTTCCAAGAAAAAGGAAGAGATGATGATGATGTCAGGGGATCCCCAGGGTCCCCTACCTCTGTCACAGTGGGCCTCTCAGTAAACATCTGTCACCAGCCAGCCAGCCCTGATGGAGTTGCCCCCACGTGTTCAGCACTGTGCTAGATAAAGAGCTGGAGGTGGGGAGAGATAAAGGCTTAGGAAATGCATGGCCCTCTAAGAGGGAGGCTGGGCAGTCAGGGTGGGCTTCTTGGAGGAAGCAGGGAGAAGGGCTGACAGCCACATTTAGGAAGTCACGTAAAGGCCAAGGATCTGAATACCTCGCTCTCTGTCTCTGCTACTCCTAGGCTGGGCAGCTGCAGACAAGACACTTACCCTCTCTGGGCCTCAATTTGCTCATATTTGGGACCCTTGTGAGAGTTAAGGAGAGGCAGGCCAAGCTTCGATGGTGTTTTGTCCCCTGGGAAGTGGCATCCAGGGGCGGCAGCACTGTCAGGCAAAAGACTTTTCCTTCCCAGGCATTTATACTGGACAAGATGGAGACCGTGAAGATGGTTTCGCTGCTCACAGAGCCCAGGGTGTGCTGGGCCGGAGACAGCCTCAGGGAAAAGAACCCGAGAAGGCAGCCTGGGCCCTTCAGGAAGTGGCCAAGGAGCCCAGCTGCGTCCCCCAGGACCCCATTTCCCAGTTGCCAGGATTCGGAGTGCTCCAGCCTGTCCTGATGGCCACCTTCCAGGCTGAGACATCATGACTGACTGGCTCTTTCTTGCTTGTCTCCTGTTCTTGTCATCACCCAAGGGCACAGGGGACAGCCTAAGGCAGTAAAGGGCAAATACAGCACCCATGCTAGGGTTGGCAGGGCTGCCTGGGCTGGAGGGGAGGTGGCAGCAGAGGGACAGGAAGCTCCAGGGGCCACTTGCTCATCTTTGAATTCCCATGAATCACTGGGGGCTCACAGAAGGCAGGAAGTGAGAGTGTGCAAGCAAATGAATGAGGTTCCTGACGGTGGCCCTATGGGGTCAATTCCACCTGGGGTGCCAGAAGGCTGCATTCACTGTGCTGTGCCCATACCCAAGAACCAGAAAGCCCTGGTTTCCTAGCTTCTGTTTACAGGAGGAAGTCGCAGCCCAGTTTGGCTGCGTGGCTTGCCCAGGTCACCCAGCCAGCTGAGAGGTTGGGCTGGGACATGAACTCAAGTGCAGGAGCCCCACGCCGAACACCATCCCGGTTAATGATATCAGTGAACAAGAAGCAACATGCCCGGGCGGCCAGAATGTAGTCACGGCCCTCGTTCAAGCCTGGGTGGCTGCTCCCAGGCAGAGGAAGTGGGTGTGGGTTCCTGCAGGTGCTTGCTACTGGAAGGGCAGCTGGGGACCCATATCAGTGACAGTGACGGAGGGCCTGGGAGGGAGGCAGGGGCTGCATTCTCACAAGACACCAGGCGACCCGTATGCTGCCTCAGCCTGACAGTGCTGCTCGGAGCTAAGCCGGGCATCATTACCCAGGAGGAAGGGACCTGCAAGGACTGCAGGCCACACGTGCGCTGGTGACACCAGCTCTTCCCTCAGAGCCCTTGCCCGTTGTAGTCATCACCTAGTTGTTTGGACTTTTATGGCCCCACCTTGAATTCTCAAAGGTTTCTCTTAACCGCTTATCCCGGAGCCCAGGGTACAGCCTAGCACAGAGCAGGACCTCAGTCAATGTGCGCTGTGAACACACTGTCACGGCCTCAGAATAAATGGTGAATGAATGAATGAAGGAGCGAGTGAGTAAAAGTCTTAAGCAAAGAAGTGAATCTCTAAGTGAAAATTGTAAGGGAAGTAGAGGAGCCAATAGTGGCGGACACTGGGTAGAGGGTGTGGAGGAATCTTGGCCAGCACTTGACCCTTGCGTCACCCAAGTCCTGTGCACAGGTAGGGTGGATGCCTGACATCACACCACCTCCAGAATGAGCTGCCTCCCCAACAGCCCCAAAGATGAGCCCCACAGTGCTAACCACAGGTCTGTGCATTACCAGGAGGTCAGGGGTGGGGGGCAAGTCCCTCTGTCCCAGCTACACAGCATCACGACTCACAACTCAAGGCAGGCTGAATCTGGCACCTGCTCCTGAGAGCTGGCACTATACTTGCTCTGGAACCCCAGAAGTCTTTTCCAGCCCTACCAGCCCTTTAAAACATACAACTGAGTTGGCTGGGTCAGGTGGCCACAGGTGAGCCCCAAAATGCAGTTGCAAGCATGTGTTTGCGCAGACAGTTAAGTTTCCATCTGTGACAAGATCGTTCACAGGGCCTGGGTAGATTACCCACAACTCTGGGAATGGCTCTGAGAAGATCTAAGGATATGTGCAAGAGTGGTGGGTGGGGCCTGCACGTTGGCCTATAAATCCACTGCTCGTGAGGCTGAAGCAGGAGGATTGCAAGCTCAAGGCCAGCCTGGACAATTTAGGGAGACTCTCAAAAACAAAACAGAAAGCAAAACTAAACTGGCAGATGGGCTGGGACAATAGTCTCATTTTTACTTTTTTCCTGTTTTGCATCGAAGAGTATAATGCATCACAGAGTTTTCAAGAAGCTGTTTTAGACCATGACATGATGTAAATTTTGCAATCCTACCCTGCAGTGTAGGGGGACTCTGGGGTTCTTCATTCCTGCACTGATTGGTTTTACTTTCCAATTTCCTGTGACCTCACCTAAGGAATTATCTAGACCCTGTCTCTAGTAGATGAACATTTTTCAACTCTCCGGCAGCTAATGGTCAAAAGCTGAGGGTCAAGCAGCCAGTCTGAGAGGCGAAAGTACTCAAAGCCTGCTTGGAGAGGCAAGGTCTTTCAACGGCTGCTGAAGCTGATGCCCTGGCTCAGAGAGGTACAGAAATTTGCTCAAGGTTGCACAGCAAAATATGGCACAGCTCAATTCTAGCCCTCTCAAGTTTGAGGTGTTTTTCCTATCAAAGCCTCTCAGACTGTCTTCATGTATCCTAATGGTGGAAGAGTGTGAACTCGACCTCCCGGGGCCCTGAAAAGAAATCCGTGCGATCTGGCCTCTCAAAATGTTTGAGCGAACTGGTGTTCTATTTTGTAGCTCTTGCTTCTAGTACAGAAATCATGCATGCTCCTGGCAGATGTCTTTGATGATGGCTCCCAGGACCTTGGCAGAGGAGCCCAGCACACGCCCCACACTGCCCTGTTATCTGCTGATACAGCCGCCTTGGAAGAGGACTCCCCCCACCCCCTGACCCACTGCAGTGTCCCCAGCATTGCTGCCCAGGGCCAGAAGGCCTCCAGGGACTCCCAGACCTCTGCGAGCTCTGCCTTTCCAGGTCTGGGAGTTGGTGTGTGGGGACTTCGCTGGGCCTTGGGCTTTATTTAGGCTGGGCAACTGTGTCATTGTGGTGCCTCAGCTCCCCCAAGTGGTCAGGGGGGACCCGATGATCACCCTGGACCCCCAACTGCAGCTTCCTTCCTGTACGCCTGCAACCACCTGATCTCTCCAGCTCTTGTCACAGCAGCCGGTCACACCTCTCATCCACCCTCCCTCTGCCGCTCCTGCCTGGAGGTCTGCTCACTTCATGGCCAGTGACAAAGCCAGAGAGGACAATCAGGACATAGCCATCAGCAGTTGGTGGCCCAATCTCAGACGTAACACGCTGTCACCCGGGCTGCTTTACCAATGAAGCATGTACCCCTCTGCTGAGGGGAGACCCTTAAAGCAGGGTCCTTTCCTTGTGGGGGTTCACAGGGAAAATCAGGAAGCCAAGGCTGAGTGTCAACAGCACCAGCTTCATCCAGCACCCACGCATGGAGAAGCAGGAGTCCGGCCTACACTCTGGCCACAGCCCACAGGCCCAGGAGGCACAGAGGGAGGGTTGCCATGTTCCAGAAAGGGTGCTGCCCAACTCCTCTCCTGATTCAGACCTTCCTGGTTGCTACCACAGAGAAGGCGACCTGTCAGGGCACATACTAATGAAGTGCGGCCCAGGTCATCCCAGCAGTTACCATGAAAGGCCACCAGGCTTGCTGTCAAAGATAAGCACATTTAGGGCGTGGTGGGTAGAGCTGGTTATCTGGGCAGACAGTCTAGACACTGAGCTGGGTGACAGCCGTCCCATGCGGGTTAGAAGCAGTTACTGAGTCCAGCCTACCTTCCAGGGCTTGGCATGGGCAGAAGGAGGGCCTCCAAAATGCACAAGGGCCTGGATGTACTCCAGAAGGCTTCAGGAGCCCAGCTTTGTTCCACCACAGAGAAACGAGGGTGGTATGGGGGCAGGCACCCCTCCAGACACCATGCTGAATGCTCCAGTTTCCTTTCCAGCCTGGGAACCCAAGGCACACTGGCCCTCAGAAGCCACAGGTGGCTGATGGCTGAAGAATGGGCTCATCTGTTATCTTTCCAGAGCTGTGGACAGGGTCTGAACCCAGAAGGGAGCCCTGATGAGGTGCTAATTGCCGTGACCCTCAGGTCTCCTCCAGATTCCCTTAGCTCAACTCTGGAACCCAGAGCAGCTGCTTAGGCGCCAGCTCTCCAGGGTCCTCTCCAGAGCCACAGAAACCCTCTTCCCTTTTGCTTCTCCTGCAAATGGACTCTATCTGCCCCATCTCTACGGACAGCTGGAAAATTAAATCTCAGTCTTTGGGGGGCCTCCCTCCCCATCTTCACCCTCTGCTCGGGCTGTGTCCTGGACCCCTTCTTCAGGGCAGAAAAGGAGGTATGGAGTGAGCTGTCACAGTTTGCAGTTAGACACTGATTTGTGTGCCCAGAGCAGGGGGAGTGGCACTTGTGTCACACTCGGCGCCCAACTCTGTGCCTCTCCTGAGAGGGACAAAGGGGTTTTTGCCAGTCTAGCAGCAGCTCAGGCCTTTTCTTTGAGGGTCCAGCAGGTGACCCAGGAGTCGCCTGTCTCTGACCACTGGCTTCTAACCCTGCCTGGCTCCAGAAAGGAACCTTTGAGCTGGTTCAGCCTTGACCTCCGTCCCTCAGGTCCCTCTGCTCTCAGTAGAAAGAGGTTTTTTTGATCTCAGCTTTGCCAAGGAGGAGGCCAAGGGTCTGACCCCGGCTCAGCTGTCTTCTACTCTTCCTAGCATGGGAGAACCCCCCACCCACCCCCAGGGCTCCCGCTCGCAGCCAAGGAGAGCATGGACCCTCGCGGGGGAAGCTGGAAGCTCTCACTGACCGGGCCCAGTCCTCCACTGCCTGCAGTTTTTGACCTAGGGGAGACTGATGACCCTCTTGCAAGCCCCAGACATGGCCTGCCTCCTGCCATGGGCAAACCACACTGCTATCCAAAGCCAGCAAATCTTGGGCCCCTTCATTACCAGTGCCATGGGTGGATATGAATTTCTGTGGTGTGGAAATTAAGAGGCATTCATGACCAGCTGGGCAATCCAGAAAAGCTTCCTGGAGATGGAGTCGGACTGTGGCTGGTGGGTACCCTGAAGTATTAGAAACGTTCTGGACCCTTGAGCCATCTCCTGAGCACCTGTATGCCTGGGGGAAGTGGAAAATCAGGAAGAGGAGGAATGGGAAAGGCGGGCACTGGGAGGGTGACAACGTGGAGGGCCAGGCCATGAATCACAGACTTACGGGCAGCTACCCCTGTGTGCCCAGCTCCTTCCTGGTGACCTCAGTCCTCCCAGGCCTCGTGAAGCCCCAGCGGCTGCCTGCCAACTCCCACCTGGACACCTGGACACTAGGTACAAGGGACACCTGGACACAGGAAGTGGGGCCGAGCCCTTCCAGACAGAGCAGGGCGGCCTTGCCTGGGGCAACCGAGGGACGGCTCACAGTTCAGCCCAGCCCAACTCAACTCACTGGAAGCGGAAACTCACACTTTCCAGGAAGAACCCTGTGCAGTTCCAGGAGGAAGACAGCATTCCCCTGCTCAACTGAGCTGCTTCATTGAGGAAA